TGGAAGATAAGGTAGGCCATTCTCTTCAAATAATATGTCTTGTATTGTTCCTATTAATCCATTAACTAACCCACCTTTTGTCTATAAATTTGCTGTTAACATTATATGTGCACCCCTGGCTAATAGTAGTTGTGGTTCGAGGCCCTTTGCCACATTAGAATTAGCTGTTTTCGCCTCACATTCACTAGTATATACTGTGAGAATTTTGGCAATGGAACAATTCAAAGACATGAGATTTCTTGCATTGACTGTGTCTACATCAGACCATTTTGGTAGCATCAGAGAATTGATCACATTTTGTACTTGATAGTTTATATTCAAATCTTTTGGTAAAAACTTTCCAGTCTTTTAGCATAGATTTTCCATCGCGCAAATATAAAAAAATATTCCTAAAATTTTGCTGTTCTTTAGAATTTCTGAATTGTCGTTGAATTATATCAAGTTTATATATCTCTCAGAATGACTTATATGCTGCAAAACCATCATTGGATAATAAATCTCGCAGCACATTAGCATATATAGGGAGATTAAATACAGATGGAAGTTGGCCAAAGTCACCAACTAAAATAATTAATTAGCTACCAAAGGGTTTGTTGTTGTACTCAGGAAAGGCTTGACGCAATCGCATGTCAATCATGGTAAGCATTCTGCATCCAACCATACTTTTCTCATTAATAATAATATATTGTATATTTTCTAATCTTTGCTATAACAGTTTTAGATGCTTATCATCTATATCAAGATTATTGTTACTAGTCATTATAGGTATAGAGAATGCTGAATGAATTGTAATACCTCTAATGTTGAATGCTGCAACCCCTGTTGGAGCCAGAATAAATATAGATACTTTTGATCCTCTTGATATTTTGAGAAGTCTTTTCCTGATCACTTTAATGAGAAGAGATTTTCCAGTACCTGCTGTTCCCATAACTATAATCCTTAACAGTTCAGCATGAAGACCACTAAGTATGCTATGGTAATGTGACTTGATTCTCTTAAAAATTCTATTCTGTTTTTCATTCAGAGTCACATTGTCTATAATCTCTTCAATAGCTTCATTTTCTTCATCCAGACGACTTCTAGATACTCATTGTACAAAGGTTCTAATGTCTGTAAGGTCCTCACTATAATAATGTCATTTAGCCTCATTAACCCAATCGTGATTTCTATCTATATGATGAGCTCCCGGTTCAGATAAATCACTAATGATCGTATTGGGACCTATTTCAGAAAGCAATATCCAGTCAGGTCTGAATTCATCAAATTTATTATCTTCAATTTCTTCTTCTTGACTCTCCTCATCAACAATTTTATCTTCTTCGTTATCTACAGCAGGCCTCAGTAGATCAATTGGATATGCATTTATCTCTTCAATATAGCGATTGTATAGAATTGATTATAAAATATTACTATTTTCAGTCAACTATTAAAGGTCTCTGTGTCAAATGTGAAGAAAAACTTTAATGCGACAAAACTCTTCTCACTAAAGACTTCCACGTAGAGATGCAGAGCATGGCCAGATGTATACAATATTTTCTTGCTTATATTTATTCCAATGACCATTAATATATTTATATAACAAATTGAGCTTAAATAAAGAAATTTCTTCAAATTCTATAGGTCTGTTCCAATAGATTTGCAAAGATGAGTGTGCTGTCTGACCTGCTTTATTAAGTACAAAAGATCTATCATTATTATCTCTGCTACCCGTACTACAAATCCATCTTGATGTTTCTTTATTTAGATTTAAAGAAACAAATAAGCGGCTTGAGTGGTAAAGTGGAATGTCAAGAAGAAGATAGCAGGTTTTTTGAACAGAAAAATCCCGTTTTGCAATACTAAAAAGGAGAAGTTTTTGTATTGAGATTAAAGAAGAATCAGAAGATCTATTTTCACGAAAGATTTAATCAAATATTTCAGTAAAAGCAGCAGATCGGGGTTCTGATTTACTTGCATATTTAGAAATATATTGTAAAGCTGCATTAATGCTGAGAACTGGCTTTAAATCAACATTTGCGTGCCAACCCTGCAACTAGAGTCTGCTATGTGGATTTATTAATGGATTGTTCCTTGCCATTATAAGTTCAGGTTGATCACAACTGTCATCACGCACAAAGGTATGTTTGACACTATCCTTTGGATATCTAAACCTGCATTTTTGTTGTCCTGCCTGATTAACGTGAAGACAGTAAGATGGACTACATCGTATATGACGTTGAAGCTTATTTATTAAATCAATGTAGTTCTAAAGATCATTGTGCAACTCATCGTGACGCTTTTGGTATGGGTGGCATTCAGAAACAAATGCATTAAGTCCAGGATTTATTGTGATAACTAAGGTATTAAGATATTGTAATACCTTATTTATAGTATTCTCATTTTCTTTCATTTGTATCCATTTAATAGCAGGTGCATTTCGTATCTTCCCTATACTATGGATATGAACACTACCACGATGCTGCCATTCGAATCTATACTATCAGTCTTCTAAATTCTATTGATGTCTTAACACGTTATTAAAGAAAATCTCAAAGCACTTGTTAAAAAACCAGACTGCAATATGTAGATTTTTAATCAAGCTTTTATGGTGAAATTGGCAGCATTAACCTCTTCTGAAGCTTCAATTGGTGGCATTAGATTATGTAGCTCTGGCTAGTATAAGTCAATTGAGCTAAATGTAAAGAAGACCATCTCTTGCGAGCCAAATTGCTTAATCATATCTGTCTTGCATTCCAAAATTGCTGGGATTCATATAAATCTACACTGAACCGCATTATTTAATCTGCTATATGTTTATTATCTGCTGCAATCTTCTCTTGAATATCTGTAACGGTAAGTTCTGAGTCAGTTAACCTTTGTCTAACATATACTTTGCCTTCCTGTAGAGCTCTTTATCTCATTTGTGAATTTAATGTGAAATACTGCCAGTGTGTATGACGTGCAAATCTTCCATCTTTGTATTAAAGCAGATGCTTAAAATATTCTGCTAGTTTAATATCTCTAGCATGTTCTAAACAAAGATCTGCACTGCCAGTTGGATAGAGAGTTGGGAATATGCAAACAATATATCCAGGAGTCTGGAATTTATTAATAGAACAATTATCGATTTGTAGCTATAGTAAAGATAGATTTTTTGCTTGCATATGGTTAAGAGTATCATTAATAGCAATATCTTTACGATGGGTTGAAGGAAGTATAGAAACAAAAGTTCTTATAACTGTATCATCATTTTCATTGTCATTTAGATTCTCATTACTTTGATCATTTTGAATTTGTTGAAGATATTCAAGGACAGAACCATCTTTAGACAAGAACTGAAGAACTTTATTATTAATTGAAATATCACTATAATAGCAATTATTAACTTTTAATCAGTATAATGCATGCGCAATCTTGTCACAGCGAACTATAAAATCTCTAAATGACGTAAGGTTGCTTGCAGATTGGCGGCGAATAATAAGTACCTTTAAAGTTGATGGATGATGAGGAAGTTGATTGATAAACCCTTGCACATCTTGAGAAAAATTTATAACATTTCCTCAATATTTATGTTGCCCGCTACAAAGTCTATATACTGATATTACAGTAAAGACTTTTGCAATCAGCATTTCTTCAATTTCTGTTAAACCTTGAAGCTCTTCAAGAATGTCACATGGGTCTATATTGTTTTCATTAGAAAACTTGTTTGGAAAAATCTTTTCATTATAGCAGTGATGTATTTTCCTATCACAAGAACGATAAAAGAAAAATGTTCATTACAGACAGTGCAAGAAAAATGCTGAAGCTTGTTCATATTATTATGAAATTTTTTTAGAAGATCTCGATCAATTTCACTAAGTTCAGTTGCATTAAGCTCAATTTCATTACTTTCATACATGTCAAGTTTAGTTGCATCGAATTCAGTTATAGGGGATTGTTGAAAACTTTGCTGTTGATCAGAATTTTGATTCGTTCTTTGATTTGCAGCTTCTAATGTTCTTTTTTGGCTTATTCTTTCACACTGGCATCTTAGATGCTCTTTATGTTCCTTAGCAGTTTCCATCTTTAATTTTTTTTGTTGATATTTACGATCGTATTCAAGATATTTTTTACGTTCTTCAGAAGTTTCTTTCAATCTTTATTGGCACTTTTGCTCTTGTTTCTTAGCAAGATGCATATTACATTGTTCAACTGTCTCATTTTCTTTTCCTTTATGTTTTCTAGCAGCATCTTTACTAACTAATTGATTATTCATTTTATAAAATAATAAGCAAAGAATGAACAATAGATTTTTAAAGCTATATAAAATATAGGTTTTATTATAATTATTTTATTATAATTATTTAATCGTTCAATTTACTAACTTATTTAATACACAAGATAGTTTGCAATCAAAAAAGAAAACAATATCGTGCACATTGTCAATGTGCATATACTGTTTTGTTTGTTGTACTAAAACGAGATTGATTTGATGACTTTGGGTTTATATAAAATTTATTTTTCTGATGACTTCAGTTGTATAAAATTTTTTTTCTGTAATAATCATCGACATTACAATTCAATGCTTTTTTTTTAAAAATTTGATTGACATCAGAATTATTGATAAGTTAATTATTGTCTTTAATTTTAATTAAATAAATCGGCCGAATTACTTATCATTTCAATAAAAAATAGAACAAGCTATTTTTAAATTATTTGAGTATTTGAGTGCCGCAAAATGAAAAATCATAATTATTGAATCTTGTATTTGACAGTTTACAAAGTACCAATATAGCTTATTGATTCTTGAAAATGTATAGTAATATTTTTACTCATATGAAATTCTGATAATATAAAAAAATATGAGTGGTATTTAATTACATATTATCACAGATAGATTGTAGATTTGGGTTGGTCCGGTCTTTTTAACCGGCTACACTATTTTCAGTTTTCTGTCTTTGAAAAAATTTAGACCGGTTAATGACAAACTTTAAAATAAGCTTATAAATATATATATTTTTTTAAAAAAACTATTTTTATTTTGATAATGATAGCTGAAAATAGCTTATTTTTGAGACTGGGTGACTGAACCGATAGGACTGATAGATACTATTAGGGCTATTCTTATTAGAGACCGAGATTGCTAATTCAACTTTAATAAGTTGGTATTAGTGATTAGATTTGTCAATTTGTGAATTGAACAAAGTTTCAGTTCGCGAATTAAATATAATATTTTTTCAATAAAAATTAATTTCATGATTCGAATAACTTAAATAATTCAAACATGTAATTCAAGTTTAATATGCAAGTCACAAGTCTAATAATGGATCCTGAGTTTCTATTAGCCATATGTGAAAAGTCTTATTTATCTCGAAATTTCATCTAAGAAATTCACCTTTTACAGTTTAATAAAAAAATTCAAGTTTCAATATATCATCTACTAATTCTAGCTTTAACTTTTTAAAGTGACATGTAATTTGATGTGAATAATTCTAGCCAATAGAAACTTTGGAGGAAAATTAGTAAATTTATTTATTATATATAACTATTCAGTATAGTTTTAAAATTAAATTTTTCATTCACAACTCTTTCTGATGATCACTTGGACCAAAATTTTCTAAAAACTTTTATTGGAAAAAAACAAAAATATCTGGACTAGCCTATGAGACGCAAGAAAAAGGACTATAAGAATAGCAGCTATTATTTAGAGATAGTTTTCATATACTATCTGCTAATAGCTTCAGAGTTTATCACTTACTGCAGGCACAGTACTTGTCATTTAGAAGTAGTTTTCATATGCTTCTTACCGACAAGCTTAGAGTTTATCACTCACTGAAAAAACTTAGTACTGTGCATGGATAGGTCTAGATTGCTGGTGATTTTAATAAAAAAATACACTCTTTTGGTTGGTACAATAGATCTTTCCTCCTCTTTTGCCTTTTGCCAAATATCTAAATTTTTTGAAAAAAGTGGGCGATTTGGCTCACCCCTTACAAAAGATTGGCATTGTTTATACTTACCTAATTCGGATGAACTCAGTAGAATGCAATCACGTATTTGTTTTGCTTATTGAATACAGTGCTATGATATGGGAAGAAGACCGGTGTCCCATTTAAGAGATACCCAAATTGGATAACGTGTCTGAAACAAGTTCTTAATGATAAAGTAATGCTTTACAATTGAGATATATTAATAGTTGCAATTAATGTATAATTTTTTAGGCCTTAGCACAGGCATAATGAGTGCTATCATACTGTTTTCACTTTTTTCTTTATGTTTTTCTTTTTTCGACATCTGTGTTTTTGTTTTTTCTTTTTGTTTTTGTTTCTTTTTCTCTTTCTTTTCTGTTTTTTCTTTTTCGTTTAGTTGTTTTTAAACTTCCCACTTTTCATCTCATGCCCCTTGAGAAGAAGGAAAAATTTAGAAGAGAAAGTTGGCAGTCTTGATATGGCGGATAGATGCCAGCCAGTGACCAAAGGGAATAAATTCTTAGTGAGTTAAGGATCCGGAAAGAGGCCAAGATCTACTAAAGCAGATCGCACCTGGACGATAAAAAGTCGAGGGTGAGTCTCTATTTCAGTTAGATTAGCAATAGCTACAGATAGAAAGTATAGGTCTTGAAATATAGAAATGTATAATTCTTGAATAGCTTAATCTCAAATAAATAGAGGCAGGATTGCCGAATTATAAAAAAAAAATTAATATCAATTTAATATTTTTGAAGAAACTTAATAATGACTCTCTAGATTGTTAAATAGTATAATTCCATTTAGTACAACAGACCACTTTTAGATATTTATAGAAATAGCTAAAAGATATTAAGTCTAAATATTAAGCTTAATATTATATAACTAGTTTTATATAATAATCTTAATAAAGTATTATTAGCAAGATTGCCAAAATTAAAAAAATTTAAATGCCTAGATTAAATTAAACATTAAAGCTTAGTTAATAAAAATTTGTGAAGTTTACTTTAAAAATTTTTGTTTTATAAAATTTAATAGCTTACTTTAAATGCTAAAATTAATAAGTATTCTAATACTTTTGGATCAAATTAATAAAAATAAATAGTAAATATTCATCAAATTGGTTGATCTTTAGTATAGGTGGGCATATATAATTATTATACACAGACTATGAAATCTTGCACAGCTGTGAGAACCGAGCTTGAAATGGCGAGCAACTCTGCAGAAGCTTTCTTGTCCAAATCATTACCAACATCATCAAACTCCTATGATTTGGAAAAATACTATAACAAATTTCTTACATATTACAATCTTCCTTTATTAAGTGAACCACAAACTATTAATTCCTTCTTACAACACTTACGACAAAACAATGCCAACTATTTGGCTGACTATTCCTTTATTACTATTAATAGTAACAAAACTGAAGCACATGTGTACTTACCACATGAATTTAACAGACTTCCAAATCATTACATGCTATCAACCTATGATTCCCATAATATTCTTCTAAAATCACAATTGAACACCTCTACTTTTCTATCAACTACTCACTCTCAATAAATATCTGTACTCACAATGTTAGAGAATACAACACTAACCTTAAACAACAAATTTGGGAGAATTACTGTCTTACTAATAACCTCAACATTATTGGTATTACAGAAACTAAAATAGCTAACATAAACCTTATTATCAAAATTCAAAAATCCAAACACTTTATATACTACTAATCATGTACCAATAGCTTCAAAGCTGGTACAGCTATCATGATTAATAATTGGATTAAACCTCACATCTACAAAATTCTTACTATTCCAGGATATGCAATAGCTACAGACATCTTTTTTAAACATGATTTTAAGTTTAGAATCATTTCAGTCTATCTACCCTATGACAATCTTCAACTAAGACTGTAAATACAAAATACTATTATACAATGGATACAACAAGCAGCCACAATAAACCTTCAAACTATTGTTCTGAGAGACTTTAATGCCTCTGAAGATAATTCTCACTCACTTTATATTAAATACAAACTACTTCAATACCTCTAGTATAACAACATGTATAATCTGGCTACCTACACCCAATTATTGACAATTACATGGCAAAGCAGTAGAGCTCAAAGTGGCATTGACTTCATTTGGACTAATTTAGGGTTAGATTAGATTGTAATTATATATTAGTTATATCTAAAATATTGCAAAAAATTTTTTTTGTTAGAACACTAAAGATGTTTTATAAGCAAACTTATGAGTTACAAGTGATTTTATTATAATATCGCTATTTTTTTCAATTTTACATTACATCTGATCTTACAACCTGATTGGTTGATTAGGTGAATACATTATAACACAGGTGCACTAAATTATATAATCCTTTTTATAATATAAATAATTATTAAATGTTTTTTTTATAATTTGGCAATCCTGCCTTTGTTTATTTGAGATTAAGCTATTCAAGAATTATATTTCTATCTGTAGTTATCTTTAATTTAACCAAACTAGAGACTCACCCTCAGCTTTCACCTAGGTGCAACCTGCCTCAGTAGTCTTTGATCTCCCTCTGGATCCTTAACTCACTAAGGATTTATTTCTATTTGGTTATTGGCTAGCAACTACCCGCTTTGTCAGTACTACCTAATTATATTTATATTCTACAATGTTATTGCACTTTGGCTGTGGCCAGTACTTGCAAATAATGCAAAGCATCGAATTGCTAATCTTAAAGTAAGATTATTACATTGTATATTCTTTATTTTATTAATTCAAAATTTTGCTATTACTTAATTCCTTCTGTAATCTGCTATAGTTACCCCAATTCATCTTTTCATACTTCATTTTTTTTTTTTCTACTGGTAGTCTGCTCTGGTGCTTTAATCTTTTATTTTTTTCCTTCTTTTTGTATTTCTTCCAGTTCCTAAGCTTCACCTTATTCTTCTTGCTCTTGACTGTATTTTTCATACAGATTTTCTTCAAAAGTATTCATCTGCAGCTTTTTCCTTCTATTAGTTTCTTTACTATTACTTTTGATTCTTCTGCTTCTAGGTCTTGGTTAATTTGTCCAGATCTTCTTTTTTTCTTTCATTAAAACTTTGTACTTTTTCTCTTTCTACCCTTCCATAGTCTTACATTTCTTCTAATAAGTGCCTTTCAGGATCTTGTATACTTCTTTTTATCTTTTGGTCTTTCTAAAAACCTCTTTACTGTTTCTAATATAAAGTTTTTCTTTTTTCTCTTCTAATTCTTGACTGTTCAGAACTGCGTATCTGCTTTCTCTTTC